TCCATCCATCCATCCATCCATCCATCCATCCATCCATCCATCCATCCTTCCATCCACCCATCCACAATGAGCTCCCACCAGCTTTCAGGAACACCCTTCCACACCTGCCTGACTCCAAATCCTTTGCCTCAGGCTTGAAGACAGCTGTCATGCTGCCCTGAGCCTTCTGCTCCCCAGCCTGAATGTCTCCATTCCTTTTCATCCATCCATGAATGGTTTCCAGACCCTTAGTTTGCTGGTCATCTTCTGTGAGAAGAGTTCAGTGGCCAGGGCGCCATATGCAACATGGTGCCCAGACCTGTCCCTACTACTCTGAACAGGACAGAAGATAGTAGGGCTTTTAGTGCCTCTGTTCTGTTGGCCTTTGACGCAACCTGGTCCTGCCTCATCTCTTGGCTGCCTAGTCCTGCTGCCATCATGGAGGATGTTTGAAATCCCAAAGTCCCCTCTCCACTTTACTGTGGAACCAGCTCCTTCCAGCCTCTTCTTGGGCAGCTGTTCTGTGAACCCAAGGGCAGGACTTTCCATGTAGGAGCACAGCCCACTGGTCATCAAATGTCTAAGCCTCGGGGTCAACTACCAACTCCCTGATTTTATGAGTTTACCTCACTCTACCTGCATTGATGCCTGCTTCATCTTATCTTGTTCATTTGTATCTGTCAAAAGCAATCTCAATTCTGGCTTAACTCTGTCTCCTGACCTCCTCTCATCAGCAGCTTGACAGCCAGGCCATCATTATTTATCTTCCTCCAAGTGGGGATAAAACGGTAGATCAAGGAGAAGTCAGGAATGGAGACCTGTAGCCCACAGCTCATGACCCCTGCCATGGGCAGAGGACCCAGCTGAATGGCCCCACCCCATTTCAGTGTCCACGCTCCTCAGATGAGGAAGTAGGATGCCCCAAGTCCACTACTCCTTGAGACAAACACAAGTGTCTCTGCTGAGGACCTCAGTGAAACCCAGGGTAAATGTGCCTACTTTGAAAAAAGGAAACAGCACAACAAAGTGAAAGAAATTCTTAAGTGCAAGTCAAAAGACCTGGGTTCAAATCACAGCTCTGACAATCTGCCTGTGCGACCTTGAGCCTTGGTTTCCTCATCTGTGTTGGAGCTGAATGGAGGCCCACAGTGCTAGCTTGCTCTGTGGTTCCTTACCCAGGGCATGGGGGTCCAGCTAGGGGGGCTTGCAGGGGCCCTTCAGCATTTCTCAGCCATGTTGCATGGAGACTCCCAGAGTCCCAGCAAAAATGTGCAAGGTCACTGCCAATGGCTCCATGGTGAAAGGGAGGGGAACAGAATGGCACCTTTATAGCAGCAGGTGAATGACTGCCGAGCCCAATGTACTACCCTTTTAATCAATCAACAGGCATTTAGGAGGCATCTACTGTGTGTCAGGCACTGTGCTAAAGCCATGGTGATACAAAAACAAAAAGGAAACCCTTCTTGCCCTCATGGGGCTGCTGTTCTAGCAGGAGAAGGTGATATGGACACAGTGACATATCTAAAATACAGGGATGGGGCAGCTAGGTGGTGCAATGGATAGAACACCAGCCCTGGAGTCAGGAGGACCTGAGTTCAAATCTGGCCTCAGACACTTACTAGCTGTGTGACCCTGGGCAAGTCACTGAATCCCAGTTGCCTAAATAAAATAAAATAAAATACAGGGATGGGGGCTCATTGGTCTACAGGGAAATTCCAGATGAGGAAACTCCCTCTCTCAGTGTGAGTCAGCACCCTCTTTGAAATGCAGACTCTTAGAGAGTGGCCTAGTCTATACTAATTGAATACAAGGTCATTTGGTGGGGAGGCATCATTGCCTGGGCAGATTGGGAAAGGCTTCCCATAGAATGTGGTGACCAAGTGGAGCTCTGAAGGAGGCAAAGGCTCTAAAGGCAGAGAGGAGGAGAGAAAGAGAGACAGGAGATGATGCTGGAGACCAGGCGAATGGAGAGAAAGGGATGGAGAGGAGAGATGTTCCAAAGACTGAAGTGATTGTCTGTGGGCAGCGAGTACAAGGGAAGAATTAAGGCTGGTGCTAAAAGGACCTGGGTGCCTTGAGACAGTGGTGCCCTCAACAGTAATAGGAAAGTTAAGAAGAAGAGAGGGTTTGGGGGGGAAGATAATGAGTTCTTTTTTGGACACAGTGAGCTTGAGACAGCCACAGGATGTCCAATGGCCAACAGACAGTCGGGGATGAGCCTGGAGCTCAAGGAGGACTGGATGTACAGATCTGGGAGTCGTCAGCATGGAAAGGATCATCGACTCAACGGGAGCGGAGGAGGTCACAGAGTATGGAAAGAAGAGAAATGGGCCCAGGACAGAGTGTTGGGGGGGTGATACTGGCAGTTAACCTCCAGAAGTCCAGCTATGTGCAGCAGTCATGGCTCAAGAAGTGCAAAGAAGGGCGTTCCTGAAGGATACCCTGTACCTGAAAGCCAAGGTGCACTGACCAAAGATGAGAGGAGTGTGGCCAAGCCATCCAGGCTCCAGCAGAGACATTCTCCCCCATCTCTGGCAAGAAGCCTTCCCCCAGCCCCCATGTTCAGGAGCTTTCCTGAACACTGCCTCAGTAGAGGAAGGACCTAGGCATGCAGGGCTCAAATCAAGAGCTCAAAAGCATTCCTTGCACTCCTGCTCTATGACCTGGGTGTGGGGTACACACAGACCAAAATGGCCAGTGGCCCCTGCCCGCCCAAGGCTTACATTATCCTGGGGGGACCCAGAGAAGTACATACAGATAGAAAGCAATTACAGGGTGGGGAAAATCACCAGCCCCTGGGAAGAAGGTGGTAGCCTGAGTTGAGACTGGCATGGGCCACCCAGAGGGGGAGGCTGGGAGCCAGGGCATTCTAGGCATGGAGATGGAGACAGAAGGAGGTCTCCCATAGTAGGTGGGCCACTTCGGTTCGTGCATAGAGTGAGTGACTCATCAGTTTGAAGAGGGAGGTTGAAGCTAGATTGGTAAGGATTTTCCAAAACCAGATTTGAATGGAAAGGCAGCAGGAGGCAGTGAGGCCAGATGTAATCAGACCTGGGCCTTAGAATAGGGCTCAGCAAACCCTGTCCTGAGGAACAAACCTGTCCGAGCTGTTCAGTGCAGGTAAATCCAGCTGTGTAAGAAACGTTCCTGCTTGGTGAACCAGAGAGGCTGTGAAGGCCGGGTGTCCAGTTAGGAGGCTGTTGTAGTCATTCAAGGGAGAGGTGAGGAGAGTACTGGGGGCAGGCTGGCTGTGTGAGTAGAGATGAGGGGTAGATTCCCAAAGACTTGGCCCCTGATGGTACACAGGCAGGCAGGGAGAGAGAGAAGCATCATGGATGCTTTCAAGGTTGCAAACCCTGCCATGGCTAGAGGATGCAAGAGTGTGGGGATATTGAGGCAGAGGAGACGGGGGCACAGGCTGGGGCATGGCTACATCCTTGGAGGAACATGAGGCTTGAGTAATGAACATGTGGGATGGTGAAGAGCTAATGTGTACGTGGTGGAAGCCATACTTACAAGACTTTCAGAGCTAAGAGCTCAGAAAACAGTCCATACATTAGACCGGAGAAAATATTCCCTGATAAATTCCTAAGAGGAAAAAAAGAGACCCACAATAAACAAAGTGAGTGAAAATGAGGCAAAACACAGTGACATTTGAAGCAGCGTGTGCTGGAGCGACCCTCACTGTGACTAGATAGTAACTGGACAGGGTCTGGCCATGAGTGAAGCCTTCCCAGAGCTCACTTGGAAGAGCAGGTGGCAAGCTGCCCCCAAAGGGGAGGCCACAAAGAGCCAAAAGCTGCCATCCTGTCTGGGGAGCGGCAGCTAGCAGCCCTCTACAGCTGATGCTGCCTCTGGGCAACTTTCAGCAAGCTGCTGGAGGAGTGGGTACTGCCAGGCACCCACTTTGCCAGGTTCTTTCTGGGCACCGGGAAGCCATGTCTACACAAAACAGTGGGTTCAAGGGGGAGGGAGAAATGGCCGTTCTCAATTCATCCTCCCAAACTGTCTCACTGTCCCACCATGATGAGACCGGCCTGGGAGAAGGAAGCAGCACCCCTTGGGATTGGCCTGGGGATCCAGGAGAAGAGAAAGAGAATTGAGGGGGAGGGCAGGGGCACAGGGGGGACTCAGGCAGGGATGAACTACAGCAAGGTTCTGACAGCTGATCCCCAGAACAGCATGGGGAGGAGACCAGATGGCTTGTATTTGTTTTTAAATACAAAACATTCTTCCTTAAGGAAGATCTTGTTGAACACAACATTAGTGAGACATCTTAAATGGGCTTTTAAATTCAACCAGGACATATGCTTTCAGTCTGAAAATAAATGATTGTTAAAGCTGGAGGCAGGAAGAAGCTTCAGGTTCAGAATCCCAACTGAGGCTGAAGCATCCTGATCAAAAAGTGCCCCCTGAAATCTGACATTTCCTTGGGGGCCCAAGCTCCCCTTGGGGCCTTCTAGGAGCCCTGAAGGGGATGCTGGCTTACGGAGCTCTGGGAGGTCTGGTCGCTAGAGAGGCTCATGCACCAGGCCAGTGGTGACCAGTAACGACCATCCTGGACCAGCTTGGCCAGGCTCCAGACCAGACTCAATGCAGCCAGTGCATTTTCAGCCTCAAGGCCTCTCCAAGAACATCTGCCAAGTCATCAAAGGGCAGCTGTGCAGATATAACCTAAATAAAGAAGCCCAAGATTCTTGGCACATGTCAGCATGGAATGTCCAGAGGATGAGATCATGGCACCTGTGGGTGAGCATGGGCCACTGAGGCCACACAGATTCATTTAAGGCAATTCATGGGCACCCCATTCCTTATGTTTTGGACTCATTTCTCCCTCCCTTAAGGATGTCTTGGGGCACTGAATGGTCCCTGGCTCAGGAAGGCTGCTGTTAAGGAATGGCCAGCTTGGGAGGATCTGAGTATGGGCTCTGGGCTGGGCCACATTTGCTGTGTAGTGACCTGGCCAAACATAGGGAACCCCTTCCCGCCCAGGTCAGCTTTAGGGGATAAATGTTTTGACCCTTGGAGCTCATTAGCTGAACAGTCACAGGCTTACAGTCTACACCAAGGGAGACTGTGTCACCCTCATCGGCAAGGCTTGGGGTCCTCAAGGGTTCAGTGTAGTTAGAGGCATCTGACTTGTCTTTAGGGCACTTCTACTGAACCTTTGCATATCCAAACCTGAGTCTGCAGCCCTTATGAATGACTGTGGTCAACCAGCTCCCCACCTAGCAGCCTGCCCCTGGCATGTAAACAGGCTGCTGTCAGGAGGAAGACAGCATGCATACATTCTGGGAGCCCAGGACACGCTGCTGAACCCCTTGTCTTGTCAACTCAGATGACTCACATCATATTCATTTTACAGCTGAGGAAACTGAGACTTCAGTGACATGCCCAGAGTTATACAGCTGTTATGTGTCAAAGACTAAATTTGAACTCAGGTCTTCCTGACTCCAGGCTCAGCTCTATCTACTGTGCTACCTAGCTAGCACAGTATGACTTCTACTCGTATGACCTTGAACCAGCCCCTGCACCTCTCATCAGTCATAGTTGATAAACATTTATTAAACATCTACTATACAACTGGCATTATAAAAAGATGGATATTCTAATGCATTGTTGGTGGAACCAAGAATTGAGAAAGCAATCTAGAATCATGCAAAGAGTGTGAATAAAATGGTCCATGCTCTTTGACCCAGAGCTTCACAACTAAAGATACACTACTCCAAGATGTTAAATGACTCAAGAAGGGTCCATATAACCCAACATATTCATAGAAACACTTTTTTTGTCCTAGCAAAAAAACTAAGAACAAAGCAGATGCTAGGCAATTGGGAAGAGGTAAATTGCTGCTCATGAAGGTGATGAAACATTAATGTGCAGATGAATAGAGAAAACCAAGAAAGGATTGCTGTGAACTGATACAAAGGGAAGTGAGCAGAGCCCAGACAACAGCACACACAAGGAGGCAACAACTTTGCCTGAGAGCACCAGAACAGCACCAACTGCAGTTGGATGGGAGCTAAGCTGGGGCCTTCCTCCCTTCTCTGTAGGTGGGGTGGGCTCCTCCTTCCCTCCCTCCCTCCCTCCTTCCTGCCTCCCTCCCTCCCTCCCTCCTGCCTTCCTCCCTTCTCTGTAGGTAGGGTGGACTCCTCCTTCCCTCTCTCCCTCCCTCCCTCCCTTCTCTGTGGGTTGGGGTGGGGTCCATCCTCCTCCTCCCTTCCTCCCTCCCTCCTTTTGCAGGGCAGGGGAAGGGCGAGGGGAGGGGCTCTGAGGGGGAATGCACTGACTCTGAAGGTATCTAAAACCATGTTTGAGTCCAAGGTGTAACCACCATCTGCCCACGGGACAGCATGCAGGCATTCAGTCTGCCCAATATTGACCATGAACCCCACCCAGGGTACCAGAGGTGTGGTACCTGGAAGCTTTTGCCTGTTCTCTGCTCCCTGGCCTTCCCAAGGCTCTCTGGAAGCCTCTTCTTTAGGAGCTGGCCAGCTTCACTGGTCCTTCCTCCCACCCCTTTCAGCTAAGGTGGATCTGGGCAGTCAGAGAACATGCGCCCACCCCCCTCACTTGGCTGGTAAGCTCGCAGGGAGGTAAGGAGAGTACTCACAGTTTGTGAAGACTACTGAGTCCAGCAAACACCTGAGGGCTCAAGCAGCCAATCCTGTTATTCGAGAGATCCCTGTGAGGAGAGACCACATTGTCATGTTTCATTCTACTCAATCAGGGACAGTCTGTACCTGAGCCCTTCAGAACGTCTTGGTCACTACAGGCTGGATGTGCTCTGCTAACGAGAATGGCAATCCCGTCCATTGGCTCCCTGGTGCTTGCATCCCAAGCAGAGCCTTCTGGAGGGCTAGTGGCTGGGCTGAGGTAGGGCAGAAAGATAGGGCCAGGTAGCACCAGCACTACCACTGAGCCTTGGTTTCAGATCTTGCTGGGTCTCCCTGCCCTTGGTGTTGCAAACAGACTGAATGCGACGTGGGAGAATATAGCCCTGTGTGGAACCAGCTCCTCTCTTGGGGTGTTCATCTGCAGGGCTGAAGCACCAGGGCAAGGGCACAGCTGGGCCCTCTTCCAGCTGTGCCCCTGCTGTGAGTCTCCAAGCCCATCCCCAAACCCCACTGTTTCTATACTTGGGAGGAACTCAGGCAAGAGAGAGGAAAAGGTGTTCAAGGATGTGGCCAGGAATTTCACCTGAATAATATTTCCCTAGGATACCACATGAAGGTGGAAAGAGAGGTGGAGGTGAAGATGGGGTGAGAGGTTGGGTTGAGAGGATGGGGTGAGAAACAGTTTCCCAGGAAAACAAGCCCCCATAGGAAGCTCCTAAAGTAGAGTCTACCTCCCAGAAAGCTACTGGGAGGAAGGCCATTGTCTGCACCAGGAACCAGGGAAAAGCCCCCAGGGGTTCTGAAAAGTGCTGTGCTGACCCAAGCAAGTGCCAGACCCCAAACCTGCTAACTGGATGAGTGTGGGCCTGCCAGGGCAGCTCTAGGTCTCACTTACATCTTTCAGATACCAACACCTAAAAGCGGCCTCTGCACTAGACTCCATGTAAGACACTTATGCTGCTGACATTTATGTTCTTGAAGTTGGAGCCCATGTGGTGCCCCCTAGTGGTACCCCCCCCTCCTTATGGACTTTTACCCCCCACCCCCATCTCTTGGAGCATACATAGGCCCCAGGGACCACAAAAGGCCAGCAACCCCAGAGCAATGAGCCCAGGGTGAACCCAAAGTCAGGGAAAGGAGAGGGACTGAGCAAAGTCACTAATTCCTATGGCCTCAGCTGAGCAGCACCTGACTAGTCATGAACTGAGGAAGGAAGTAAAACAGGCAACATTATCATCATTAAAAAAAAAAAATCCCCATCTTGGAACAACTCTAACAGTGGCTCACACATCTAGCCCACTTTACAAAGCTCCCATGTCACAATTCTCTGGTGAGGGAGTTAGAGTCAGTTTCCCCATTGCTGTCTTTAGGGCACAGAAAATGAATTTCCTTCCATTTGGATCTTCTGCATTTGCATTTCAAAGACCCCATCCAACTCTGATTTTCTCTTGTCTTAGAACAAATATTTGAAAGTCACTGATTCTATGAAAAGCCTATTTTCCCCCTAAAAGATTATACTCAATTTTACAAGATAAGTCATTATTGGATGTAAGCCATTTTCCTTTGAAAGCATTTTCCAATTTTTTTTCTTTCCTCTCTCATTGATGATATTACATAATTCTGATTCAACTTCCTTTCTCTTTATGATTGCTTGAAGTATTTTCTCTTTAACTTGTAGACTCCAGAACTTGGTAATCACATTTCTCAGAGAATTAAACCTAAGGTTCCTACCTTATATAATCCTATGAATTTGGTACATTTGTTCTGTGGCTTTAATGCATCCAGGAAATTTTGTTTTATGATTTCCTTAAATAGGTATTCAGATTTTGTATTGATTTCATCGTGCTGCTGCTGTTGCTGTTGTTTTCTGGGAGTGCGATTCTTAAATTATCTCTTTAAAAGTTCTATTTCAGCTCCATTTTAAAATGTAGCTAATTTATGTTCTAATTGTTCTGTCTTTTGGCTTTGACGTAGCATTTTTTGTACTCTCGTTGAACTGCTTAATTCTACCTCTTCCATTCATGTTTAAGATTGCCAGTTGCCAGCTAATGTCTTTTGGCTTCTATTCTAAGCTATTTTCTCCATCTTTTTCATTAAGAATTTTAATTTTACTCCTGTATTTCTTTTTCCTTATATTTGCTTTCCTAGCACTTAGCACACTGCCTAGCAATATGGTTGTTCAGCCATTCAGTCATATCCAACCCTTGGACCATATTGTGCCAATACTGTCCAATGGGTTTTCTTGGCAAAGATACCACAGCGGTTTGCACTTCCCTGCAGGGGATAAATACAAACAGAGGTTAAGCGACTTGCCCAAGGTCACATAGCTAGTAAGTGTCTAAGGCCAGATTTGTACTTAGGTCATCTTGATTCCAGACGCAGTGCTCTATCCACTGAGCTGCCCGTAGCTGCTTCCCTGGCACATAGTAAGTACTTAATAAATGTTTATTGCTATTGTTGTTATTAAATAAAATATTTCTGTTGTGTTAAAGGAAATTGCTTCAATTCCTATATTTTATAGTATTTCTAATACATATACATGTTGTATTTATCAGAGGCATTTTGTGCATTCATTGTTAATATGAGATATAATATGGATTTTTGGCTAATATTGAACTATCCTTGAATTACTGGCAGAAATCCAATATGATGATCATATTTTTGTTCTAATATAATATTCCATTTGTCTGTATTTTCCTTAATGATTTTGTGTCAATAGCTACGACTACTATTTGGGGGATGAGCTTTCTCTGGTTCAGAGAGTTGGATGTTAGTTGGACAATAGGAAAAACTTTGTAGTCAGGACAGCTAAGGAGTGACCCTGCTAAGTAGCTAAAGTGAAATTCAAGCCCAGGTTTCTTGATTCAAAATCCAGAACTCAATTCACCTTGTCATGCTTCCTCTCATTACAGAGTTGTCATGTTTATCTCTCATTGCTTTCTGAATTAAATCTGTGTTTGTCTCAAATCATAACGGCAACTCTGATTTTCTAGAGTCAGATGATTTTATATGGAGAGAAAAGGAGAGAGAGACAGAGACAGATACAGATAGTACTATAACATTTGCTAAGGACTTTACATTTGTTATTTCACTTAATCCTCACAATAACCCTGTGAAGTAGGTTTTAGTATTATCCCATTTTACAGAAAAGGAAACTGAGGCTGAGAGAGGTGAAATGACTTGCCCAGGCTTATACAGCTAGTGAGTATCTGAGGCAGGCTTGGAACTCAGGGCTTCCTGATTGCAAGGTGCACACTCCACCCACTATGCCACCTAGTTCCTACACGAGTTTCCAAGCTCTCTTTTAAAACTTGAGATTGTTAAAAGAAAATATAATAGAAATAATAATAATAAATGTTTCCAATTGGTATAATTTTATTAACCAGTCTGAAATTCACTTCATTTTAGCCATTAATACTGATGGTTATAATTATAAAATATATTGCTTTTTTTTCCTCTCTCTCACTCAGTCACGTAGTTTGAATTGCCAGTCAAAGGTATGACCTGACTTACTTTTCTAGGGTCAGTATAACACTAGCTTTTATATACACAGATAGTCCACCTGGACCCTCAGCCACAACCACAAACTTTCACTGCCAGACTTTTGTCTACACACTGACCATCCCCCAGGCACACACAATCTCAAATCTGATTTCAACCTTGGATTTTTATGAACATAAATGATCTGACTGATAGGCACACATAGAATGACACAGCATTGCTGAACGAGCCTCGCAGGTTTTTCAGTGTCCCCACCTTACCTCCCTGTTACTCTTTCGCAGGTAGACACATCATTCTGGCAATAGTGACTCTCCCATTCCTCTGCCCCTCCCCCCTTTCTTGTTTACTCAGTATCTACGATGCCTGCAATCAAATCATTCCTCTTCTTAGCTTTCCTTTCCTTTGCCTTTTAAATTCTTGTTTCCTTGTTTTTTATGTTGTTCTGGAGGCAACACAATTTGGAGGGCTCTGAGGGAGACTCTAAAACTCTCTGGAGGAGGGGAGGACACCAAATAACTGGGGGAATTATAAACATTATTCCTCTTCGGGGAAAAAAGACAATTGAGAGGGCTTCCGTGACAACCTGCCTCTGTGTCTACTTTCTAATCCTTACAAAATCTTTATAAGGATACATCATCTTCCATCAAGGTCATCTTTGATTGAGCTATGAGAACAGGACAGGCTTGCATAAACAGTAGTGTAGAGAAGAGCCCACCTTTACAGTCACTCGATTGACTGAAAAGTGCAGCGAATGCCAGGCCCCGCCATGCTGAGGGTTTGTGGGAGAATTCCGTAAAAGAAAATGCTGTCTGAAAAGCTCTCCTCCAAAACCATGTCTCCAAAGCACCTGGTGGAATCATGAAAGAGTCTTTGAAAGGGCAACAATGGTGATGATCCTCTGATTATTATGATGAATGAGGAGGCATTAAACGCCAGGCAGGTTCACCAATCAGTCAACAAGCACCTGTCATGCGCCAGACACTGTGCTAAGTAGGGGAGGGTGGGATTCAAAGAAAGGTAAAAACCAACTCTGTGCTGAGGGAGCTCACATGGCAGTGAGGGAGACAACGTGTGAACAGCAATGTAGAGCAAGGTTCAAAGAGGATAAATTGGAGAGAACCAGCCCAGGGCCAGCTTTCAGGAGGGGTTCTCTACGAATGAATATCATTTACTAAGTGCTAGGCACTAGGCTAAATGCTAGAAATATGAGACAACAGACATTCCCTGCCCCCATGGAGCTTACTTTTGAATAGAGGAGGGAGGAGACAATACACAGAGCTGAAGAGTGGCCAGAAGAGAGGTTTGGTCAGGGCAGTCACAAGTCAGGGCTGTTGTCAGAGGCAGGGATCAATCTATTGTAGCACCCTCTTCAGAGGTCAAGGTCATATTGGTTTCATTCCTGTGTCAGGAACAGGAGGTGTAAAGTATGTCTGTGTAGGGAGTAGGAGGGCATGCTTTACAGAAGGCAGTAGACAGGAAGGTGGTTGGCCTGGAGTACAATCAGGGGTTTCAGACTGACTGGAGATAGTGGGTTTGGACTCAGGGTGACTCCAGGGTGGCTTCTCCAGGTGCTCCGGCTTGAAGATGACATGGTTGCATCAAGCCTGGAACCTTCAGAGGCCCCGGTACAGCTTTATGAAGACTGAAAAGAGTTTGCTCCACATAGGAAAAAAACCAATTGGATAAAGAAGTGCTATTGCCTGGGCAAATATGCAGCTGAAAGGACTGCCCTTTGAGCTGGACCATCCATGTCTATATCTTGGGCTGGCCTAGGAATGGATCAGGACCTGGGTCCAGAAATGAATGGGAGAAGATGAGGCTGAGCTGCCTTGAAAATATTACACTAGCACTTTATAAAAGTAGGTTTTATTGATGAGTTTTGTTTTTGCTGCCCAGACTTTCCCCTGTTACTTTCCCCTCACCCCAGCCCTAGAGAGCCATCCCTTGTAATAAAGATGTTTTTTCAGAAAAAAAAGAAAAAGAGGAAGATTGTTTTTAGAATCAGTAAAAAAAAAAACCAATCAATTCATTAAAAAAACCCCTGCCATTGGATGGGATGTCCTGTACCACAAAGGACTTTGAATGTCCTCAACTTTTCCTCCAAAACAAAGGGTTATCTTTCCCATGCCAATATTCCTCTGGTGATATTGGGTTGGGAAGCATGGGACACTGGTTGTCAAAGGACCCAAAAGACTGTAGGACACTGGTTGATGCCTGTGACCATCCTTGGGCTAATACCCAAGGGATTTTCCAGGGATAAGTTTCATGCAAGAAAAGGGTGTAAAAGTGGTGATTAGAAAAGTATGACCCTTCATGGAGGTGGAGCAGGCATGTGGACAACAGGATATCTATCGGTCAGCTCACCAGCAGGCTCTTTTGTCATGTATACAGAGCTGAAAGAAGTGTCCTAGCACATTTTCTGGGCTCCCATGGAGGACTGGCAGAAAGGACAGGAGGAAAAGGATAGGAGTCAGATAGGGAGATGAGCCCCACAAGGGCTGATCAAGCAGTGAGGGCATCACTGGAGGAATTGCCCATGTCATAGAACAGAGATCTAGCAGTGGATGGAAGGGAGACAGACAGTGGGATTCAGTTGTAAATGCTGTGGGTTTATTTTTGCACTGATCTCTGCTCCCTCCCCCTCTCCCAGGTAGTGTACGCCCTTTAACTGTCAATCCGAAAGACCACATGGAAGCTGGGCATTAGTGAATCAAGTCAGAACCTTGGTGGCTGACACAAAGGTTTCTGTCATTCTGCCATTTCCACTGAGATCATCCTCCTCTCCTCCCCCACTAGACACTTGAAACAGTGTGGGTGATATTTTAGCAAAGTAGAAAGAGCACCCAGCCTGGAGTCAGGAAGACCTGAGTTCAAATCTGGCCTTAGACACTTGCCAGCGGTGTGATCCTGGGCAAGCCACTTAACCCTGTTTGCCTTGGTTTTCTCATCTATAAAATGTGCTATAGAAGGAAATGACAAACCACTCACATCTTTGACAAGAAAACCCCAAATGGGGTCATGAAGAGTTGGACAGAACTGAAAAAATAAAAACAAAAACAACTGAACTGAAACAGCATTGATTATGCTAAGCTCAGTGACAGGGACATGAGGGCACTTTGGGAATTCCAAGGATCTCCCTGAGAGGCAGAGGGCACAAGTCACAGGCAGGCAGATTTCAGCTCCATCCAAGGACAAATTTCCTGATATTGGAGCTGTCCAGTGCTGAACTGGGTTCCTTGAGAGAGGGGTGGTCCTCCTTCACTTGAGGTCTTTAAGCAAAGCCTAGAGGATGTGTTTGGTGTTTCAAAGGGGAGATTCTCAGTCAGGAATAGATTTGATTTTAATTTCTATAGTGTTTTAGGGTTTACATCATTCAATTTCAAAATACTGTTCAAGGATCTCTCTGGAGCTCCAGAACCACCTCCCCTTCTGCCTGGGAGACAACTCCACCCAAAGGCGGTGGCCCCAAAGCATCACAAAGTCAACATGTCCTAAACTGATCCATCGTATTTTCCCCTAGATCCACACTTCCCTGTTTTTGTCATATCCACCACCAACTTCATCCTGGTTCACAGTCTCAGGGGAATTCTTGACTGGGTCCTCTACAACATCTCAACATTTGTCCCCTTCTCTCCGCTCTTACGATCACCCCCAAGCACAGGCCCCCATCATTTCTCACTTGGACAGCAATAGCCTTTTGATGTGCTTGCCTTCCTCCAGCTTCCCCCTTCTCCAATTCATTTCCCTCACAACTGACATCTAGGGGGTACAGTGAATAGATTACTGGACCTAGAGTCAGGAAGACTTGAATTCAAACTCAGCCTCATATGCTTACTAGCTGTGTGATTCTTGGTAAATCCCTTTACTGCTGTCTCCTTCAGTTTCCTAATATCTAAAATGGGGATGATACTAGCATCTACTTCCCAGGATTGTTATGAAGATTAAATGAGATGAGGGGCAGTTAGGTGGCACAGTGGATACAGCACTAGCCCTGAAGTCCTGACGAGTTCAAATTCAGCCTCAGACCAAAAATTTGACACTTACTAGCTGTGTGACCCTGGGCAAGTTACTTAATCCCAATTGCCTTAGAAACAAGATTAAATAAGATAATATTTGTGAAGCACTTTGCAAACCTTAAAGCACTATACAAATCCAGCAATCATTATTATTGCATTATTAAAATAATATTCCCAAGACATAGTTCAGAGTACATCCCTCCTCTTTTTAGAAGGATCAAGTAGGTCCCTATTACCTCTCAAATAAAATAAAAAGCCATCAGCTTAGAATTTGAAGCTCTAATCTACCTTTGCACCTCATTCCATAACCTCACCCCCACACACTCCGGGTCCCAGGAACACTGGTCTATGGGCTATTCCCCATACCCTCTGGGCTGGTGTATGTAGACAGTGCATCTTCTAGACCAGAGCTGTCCCCCCTGCATCCAAGCCCTCTGTTCAAGGCTAGACTCAGGTGCTTCTTCTTACAGAAGGTCTTCCCTGATCCCACCAGTCATTAATGCTTCTCCCTCTTCCAATCACTGTGCATTTTACCATCTGATTACATATTGCATCCCCCCATGGGGTGGAAAAGCCCATGGCAGACAGAAGCTTCTCTTCTTATCCTTCTGTTCCCAGTGCCTTGCCATATAATAGGCACCTAATAAATGACTGGTGACCTCAGTTGAGTCTCTGTCCTCAAGGAGCTTAGTATCATCTTGGAAAGAAAGGAACAAAATCAATGGAACATGCAGAGAACAAAAACAGGTCATGCAGTAAATTAGCCAATTAAATACTAATTCCTTCCAGCAGAAGATAAATACTGAGTAGTTCAGAGAAAGAAAGATGTCAGAGAGGGCTGCTGCCCCTGCAAGGGCAGAGAAGGGACTTGGATTTGTATTGGACTCCAAATGATGGGCAGCCCCTGGCGAGAGGGCCAAGAGGGAGGGAGGAGACAGATGAGTGCCTGGTCACACCCATTACACTGCTCAGATCTTACCATTGCCATTGGACTGTAATAAATCCAGTGACACCGTGCCCAACCCAGCAAGTGGAACATGCCCCATGTTTGATGCGAAGTTCAAATGGATGCCTGTGTGACTTCACATCCACGTGTGGGGGGGACCTGAACAATTCTGGCTTCTGACACGGATTTGTTCTTGAGGGGCATCTGATTACATCGTTGCTGGCAGCTCCTGTTGGAGCTTCTGTGACTTGCTTGGGATCACATCGCAAAGCTAGTATGTAGCAGAGGGGGCACTTGAACCCAGGGTTCGAGGTTCTGAGACTGGCTTTCTGTCCACCAAACCATCCTGCCATTCATGAAATAGAAGATCATGACTTCTCCATAGAGATACTTTGCAAACCTATGCATTCAGTTGTGGATATCACAATCACCACCGCTAGCCCCATTAGGAACCTGCCTACCAGGATGGAAGGGCCTTGGACACATTTTGAACATAATTGACTCCAGGCTGCCAGGTGCATGATGGAAAGGAGTCTCTGACTGGTTGCACGGCTGGGCCTTGGCCATTTTAGACATCTCGAGCCAGCCCTCTTTCTTTACTTCAATAAATCAACGGAAAACACTTAGAGGGGATGATCTCTGTTCCTTAGCACTGCTGTCCAATGTTTGGCTTGAAGCTCTCCTTCTTACTTTATTTTCTAAGCCAATATCTCTTTGTCAAAGGTAATTGGTTAAATGGAACAAAGGCATTGATCTTTAGACACTCACCGAGCAGGAAACATGCCAGAAAGGGGGCTCGAGCTGACTCCTTGCTCAGTTGCTCAGTAGCTCCCAACTCTATGTGACCCCTGGACTTTTGTCTCTGGGGTTTTCTTGGCAGAGATACTGGAGTGGTTTGCCATTTCCTTCTCCATTGTCCTCATTTTACAGACAAGGAACTGGGTCAGATAAAGGTTAAGTGACTTGCCCAGGGTCACACAGCTGGTAAGTGTCTGAAGCTAGATTTGAACTCGGGTCTTCCTGACTCCAGGACCAGCACTCTATCCACTGAGCCACCTAGCTGCCCCTACAACAACAACAACAACAACTCCCCCTCCATTTTTGTAAATGAGGAAACTAAGGCATAGGGAAAAAATGAGTTGTCTAGGGCCCCACAGCTAATCCAGGTCTGGGACAGGGCTTGAGCGAGGCTCAGGCCTTCCGACCTCCTACATCCCATCCCCTGCACCCTTCAATGCCCCAGCAGGCAGGGGCAAGATGGTACTTACAGACGTTTGAGCTGCGGCAGACCAAGAAATGCTCTGGGCTCCACCACACTTATCAAATTGTCCTTCAGGTCCCTAGAGAGAAGGAGAGAAAGTGCAGTCAGACCCGGTCTCAGAGAACCAGGGAGCCCCAGACCAAGGAGAAAGAACACAGGGAGCCATCAGCCCTGCCCTTCCCTGAAGCCTTCAGGCCTGGAAGAAAGGACAGAAACAGGTCGTCAGGGCTGCTGCACATGAGGGGAAGGTTTTCTGTTCCATCGCCCTGCACACACTCAGCAGAACAGACTAGCCACACTGATAAGTTCAGGTTTGGGGGGAGTTAAGAGACTGTTTAGCAAGGGGACACATCATGAGGATTGACAGTCCACGGTCCTGCTGAGGGAAGCAATTAGGCTTCAGGGCCAATGGTCCTCTGCCGGCTGCCACCATTCATTTTCCAGCCTGGGGTGCAGGAGGGGAGACTGTGCTGGGTGTGAGCAAACTCCCTCCAAGGGCAGGACCCTGCTCAGCAGCCCCAGGCTCAGCCAAGAGGTGGACCAAGAGACAGTGGGGCATTGGCTCTGGCTGCTGTGGCGGCTTCCATGTGCACGAGGGTCAGCCGGGGGTCCCGGCTCCAGAGGAAACCCAGGTGAATTACTGCTCATGAAGGACTCAGGGAAACCCTCCCTCCCTCCTCATTTCCTCCTCACTCACTTCCTCCTCCCTTCCTCCCTTCCTCCCTCTCTCCCTCCCTCTTCTGTCCCTCTCCCCTCCCTCGTTTCCTCCTCACCCACTTCTCATTCCCTCTCCCTCCCCTCCTCCTCACTCCTTCCTTCCCTTCTCACTTCCTCCTCCTTTCCTCCCTCCCTCTCTCCCTCTCTCTTTCCTCACTCCTTCTTCACTCCTACCCCCTCTCCTCCTTCAGACATTTAAGACATTTCCACAAGCTCCCTCCTCTCCCTGTTTGTCCAGGATTCAGCTGGAGACCCTGATGGAGTAACTCATAGCAGAGAGGGGGGCTCTCCAGGTCCTTCCCGCCTTCCTTTCTTTGATGTCATTTGTTACCTATTCCTCTGAATTTAGACCAGCTGGTTCAGGTGGTCCTTACTATAGGCTGAACATGAGCAGCCTTTTATTACCACATATAAGATTTGGTGGAGAATCCAGCGGAGGCCTTTTCAGACAAAAGGGAGGGAGCGTGAATATACTTCCCTCACCATGGATTCCATGGAATTTTCATAGAATGCTTTTCCTCCAATGCCAGTGGCCTCCAGGGCCCCAAATAGTCACAAGTCAAAGGCCAGTCCATATCGTCTTTACATGGAAAGCATTACAAAAATGGGCAATTTGAAATGAAAATTGTCAGATGCATTTGTTAATGTAAGACTGCTCCATTGGTCTCTAGGAAGCCAGCTTTGCCTTGACCTAGAGGAAGTGGTGGATGACACTGGCTGCCCAGGTCTGGGCTTTGGGAATGTATGCTGTTGTCTCTATATGTGACATGCTGCCCCCTCCCATATCCACCCCGCCCCCCCACCCCAACCCAGGACACCTGCTGTCCAGGGCTGTTGTCTATATCGATGACACCCCTCCCCACCTGAAGGACACCCACTGCCCAAGTCTGGCTCTGGGACAATGGCTGGGCTGTTGCCTCATCCTCCCCTGTCCCCCACCCCCATCCCCTTCACCAGAAGAGGAAGGGGGATAACTGCTCTGCCACCTGGGTCTTACAGACCATAGCTCTCTCTATACCAGGGTCTTAACCAGCGGCTCATGAGCTGGATTTTAAGAAACATTTCGATAACTGTATTTTGCTACGCATTTTATTTTATGTCTCTAAAAACGTGCTTGTGAGTGGGCAACCACAGGCTTCCCCAGATGCTGCCCGAGGGGTCCAGGGCATAACTCTGAACTGAAACACCAAGGTGAGGTTTCCAACTAATCCTCAATGCGCTTCCCACGGAAAGTTTTAAGATAACAGAGAAGCTTACACATCTGGTCCTCTCTGAAGCTCAGCATCTCTCTGTACATCTCTGCCCTGGCACCCCAGGATGCCCTCTGGCTGAGGATTCTTTCAGATGGGGATGGGCTTGCACAGGGCCCCCTGAATGCCCCTCTTGCCCCCGGTGGCACGTGCTCGGTGTTGGCACCCAGGCTCACAGTCTAGAGAGATAGTATTATTATCTCAGATAAAACTATCTTTGTAAAGTGCAGCTCTGCATTCAATGGAAGGGGTTGGCCCACAGCTGGGCCCGACATCTGGGCAGACTGTCCTTGACTGGGCCTCCTGGCCCTCCCCATGATCCCACTGGGGGCCTTGTCCTGGCAGAGGCGAAGCCTGCTAATGAAGATGTGGCCCCCACCAACTGGCGCTCCAGTTCCTCCCCTGCCTGGCCCACCCTGGGACCATTCCTATGGTACCGTTAAGGGGGTGTGGGGGGTGATCAACTTGGGATGCCTCAGGGAGTAAGGGGCAGAGTCTTGGATGACAGATTCCCTGGGGATGGAGAGATAGGACACCTTACAGAGGAAATGAGAGAGGCCCCAGAGGAGATAAGATCTGCACACGGGCATCCAGTAATAGCTGGGATAGGATTCCTGGCTCTTACTCTGTAGCACGATGCCCCAGTTCCTGCGCTAGAACATGGGCTGTGGAATGATGCCCCTGCCCTCTGGCCTCTTCCCACCCTGCCCCTCTGACTGCTGAGAGCCGGCCAGTGCAGTGCCAGGCACACAGTAGGTGCTGTCCCTCTGGCTGCCAAGGGCTGGGCTGGCACGGTGCTGGGCACATAGTAGGTACTCGGCAAAGAACTGACTGACCAGCTGTGCTGTACACATGATGGCCTGGGAATGATGCCCTGCCTGCCCACTCTCTCCTCCCTTGACAGTGCCTAGGGAAAGCAGATTTCCACAGCTTCTGCTAGGAAATGAGAAGTTCCAGGGAACAAACACCAGCATTTTAGGCCTTTTTTTTTGACTCTCAAGAGCTGCTGTCTTCTTGGAGAGGCACCTCCAGGAGCATCCTGGCTTCTCCCAGCTCGGATGCCAATGATGCCCAGATCTACCTCTGATGAGAAGGCCCTGGCCTGTTCTTGGGGGACTATCCCCTAGCCCCTAATTCTTTTTTTTCAACAAAACCTCTGATCTCATCCTTTTTCTTCCTTCTGTGAGTTGCCTGCACACGTACACATGTGTGTATTCATATACAACATACACACAGTACAATACAGACATGCACACACACGTGCACCCACAGGCCTTCCTCAAACCCCAATTCTTCATTTCCAGCTCTGCATCCTATTGAGCACCCTAAAAGTCATGGCTAACATGGAAACTTCCCACATCCCCGTCCAGGGCACTGGCTGTGATCGCACACTGTGGAGTCCTTTCAATGAATTTTCCTTAAGTACCAGTTTTGCACATGCTACTGGGCTAGGTATTGTGGGCGGGGTGGGGGACAGTCCGTGCCTCTGAGGATTGCAGAGACTGCTGGGAGACAAGAAAGGGAATAAGTAGAAAAGAATAGGAGAGACAGAGCCAGGAGCCAGCCAGACAGCCAGAGCCCCCTTCTCACTCCTCAGTGACCCATCCTTCACCCTGCTGTCCACATCGTCTTCCTTATGCATAAATCAGATTATGGAACACCTCCTGCCCCAAAGTCTCCCACAGCTCCCACCTAGGCTCTGCCTTGTCTCTCCAGAGCAACAGGCCTAGTCAGCCTGATTCACACATCTCTTGGTCTCCGGCCAAACTGGGCTCCCCAGGCTCTCTCTCTCGTGGCCACGCATCTCTCCCATCCTGCCCTGTGTGGACACCAAACCTCCTCTTCCTTCTCTTCCTCCTCTCCCTCCTCCTCCTCTCCTCTTCTTCCATCTCCTCCTCTT